ATGAATGGATGGATGGATGGATGGATGGATGGATGGATGGATGGATGGATGGATGGATGGATGGATGGATGGATGGATGGATGGATGGATGGATGGACCGACTGACCCACCGACAGACAGACAGACAGACAGACAGACAGACAGACAGACAGCATACATATTGCAGAGAAGAAGGCATGAAGGGAGAAGACACAGAATATTCCTGGGATCTGAAACTCTACAACCTGGGAAGCTGGGCTGAGCCAGCCCCCTTGTTTTTGTTTGTTTTTTTGTTTGTTTGTTTGTTTGTTTATCCCACTCAACTAGTAGCAAAGCTGCCACTCTTCCTGCTGCCTTTCCAACTAGCAGATTTAGGCAGATTTTTGGCACCTGACTTTGCTTGCTTCAGAAGCGGTTTTTAACACGATTTTGTGTACAATACACAAACAAACGCTTGTCATCCTAAATGGCGTGCTGAGCCCCAGAAAGTGGTAGAAAATATGATTCTTTTTCATTGTTCCCAGATCTTGGGTTCTGCAAGCCAAGAGCTGCGATTTCATGCAAAGTCTAGTTATTTGCTAAATAAGCTGGTATAAGCCCTGTATTGTTTTGCCAAGTTGTTCAGCTGTCAGCATTGTTAACTACCTACACGAGTGTAGTGTTACAAGATTCAGAGGCTGATTACACAGGTGTTTAGACAACACAGACATCATTTATTAAAAAAATATTTTGTTTACCTCATCTTAAAGATTCGGTTGAGAAACTCCTCACTGTCAGATCCACAGCCGTGGCTTCAACTGCAGACAGTTTCTCAATTGGCCCTTTAAGGGAACACAAAGAAAAGATATAAATTTAATATAATGGATGCCAAATATCAGCAATACTCTATATACAGTAAAAAAAATTAATTCCACTTTGCTTTCCCTCTGTTGAGCAGGGAAAGTGATTAATTTGCCAATAACCTAAAGCGGCTTGCTGATTAAGCCACTTCACAGTATTGGCAGGAGCCACTTCTCTGTGGATGGTCAGGCTTGATTAGATTGTTCTAATCAAGCCTGACCATTCCCAAGTGACCCACAATGTAGCCACACCCTCCATTGTTTGATCTGTTCATGAGACAAACAATAGCTATCTTTTATATGGAAGCCTCCCTAGAATATTTCTGATCAGCTCAGAATTTTTTATAGTGCCTGGTAGCACCGTCTCATCTTTTCAGCTAGGAATTCTTTCTTAACCCTATCTGGAGATGTCAGGGACTGTATTTTTAGGGTTCTTTTAACCTGAAAAGCATATTCACTTAGCAAATACTTGTCCCCCGACTCTCAGAGGTGTGCAAATTTATATTTTTGGACTACAGTTTCCATCATTCTGGGCGCTGTAGTTGATAAACCCAGATCTGCGTACGTCTACTGAATCTTCTTTGGATATAATTTCCAAGGACTGTTCTGGAACTCCCCAGTCTCTTTTCTACTGACTATAAGTGACAACGACTGTGATTATTTGGTTTCTAGGTACCACGCTCATTTGTAGAAGTAGTGAGCCATCAAATGTAGAGTAACGAGGTGTTAAAATTCATTTTGCAGCTCAAGTGACAGCTCCTCGGATGATGAGGAAGATACAGAAGTGAAAGACCCAGAGAAAATGGAAAGAAAAACGAAGGCATTATCCCGGCCCTCACGGTACAGAATAACGATGCTCGACATTTCCCTGAAGTGTTAAACATGACAAAAATCAAACGGTTTCCCAGAGAGAAGCACCTGATTCTGTTGCAGATAAGAATACTTGGCACAGACACTTCCATGCACTGTTAAATTGGCATTTTTTTTTAAAAAAAGAAAGAATGGAAAGAGAAAACTCATACTTTTTCCATAAATAACTTGGCACTAAAGCTGGCCACTCAACAAAGTGCGACTGACATGTCTAGCTCTTTAGCGAGTGCCTGAAATGTATTTCCAGACCCCTGTTTGCATATATTACATGTTTATCAGAGATTTTTTTAGGAAATGGCCATGCCTCTAAGCTCAGTTTCTGTGCTTCGTTATACTTGCATGAGATCGAACAGGTACACATTTATCAGAGATTTTTTTAGGAAATGGTCGTACGTCAGTTTCTGTGCTTCATTATACTTGCATGAGATCGAACAGGTACACAGGCATCCAATTTAACAGCCGTATTCCGATGGCATCAGATCTGTACGGGTCAGCCCCTAATAACAAACTCCGGGGATGATGGTCACCAGAAAGAGAGTCAAAGCACACACAGCAACTCCCTTGAGTCATCAGCATGCTGAGGGGCCATGAAAGCCAAGTGCCACATGGAAGAACGGAAAACAGAATGGCAGGCAGGGGAACGACATCTTTTGCTTGATCCACGACACATGTGGAATTACCTGGGAGAAGAACGATTTGGCGGACTGAACCCTGAAATGGAAGACTCCCCCTGCCAAGACTGGAGGAAGCACCTCAATGTTGTGTGGAGGCAGAAACACAAAACTTTGCTGTTCTCCGATACAGCTCCCAGAATCCCCCATGCTGGCTGTGGCACTCTGGGAGTCCAAGCTTAAATGTTCTGTTTCCCCGACGCTGTTTGTAGGTCATTCCCATTTATTCTGTTGTAATATCTGACCTCTTGCAATGACCTGCTGATCCGATGAGCTTCCAAAGCAAGGGAATTCTTCAGTTATTTCCAACTATATCATAGTGCATACTGTGGTGCTGGAGGAGACTCTTGAGAGTCCCCTGGACTGCAAGGGGATCAAACCTATCTGTTCTGAAGGAAATCAAGCCTGGGTGCTCACTGGAAGGACAGATCCTGAAGCTGAGGCTCCAACACTTTGGCCATCTCATGAGAAGAGAAGTCTCCTTGGAAAAGACCTTGATGTTAGGAAAGTGTGAAGGCAAGAGGAGAAGGGGACGACAGAGGACGAGGTGGTAGGACAGTGTCACTGAAGCGACCAACATGACTTTGACCCAACTCCGGGAGGCAGTGGAAGACAGGAGGGCCCGGCGTGCTCTGGTCCATGGGGTCACGGAGAGTCAGACACGACTAAAAGACTAAACAACAACAACAATAGCATAATATGCATGACTTACCTTGCAGTTGCTTTTCATTTTTAGTGCTTGCAAAGTGGAAGGTCTTTTTTCAATGAGTGGCGGCTTAGAACTGATCCCCTTCATGTACACAGTCCTACGGTATTGTCACTAACTTTTATTCATTGTGATGTCTATCATTGTATTGTTTTTGACCTTGTGACACATGTTGAGATGGTCTTGCCTCCTAAGAGGTAGTCAAAAAATATTGTAAAGTGCTAGTTTAAAAAAAAGACCCGTTTCTCGTTTAGCAGGGATTGCACTGGGAAAAGCTTCCTGCTGCAGCAGCTTCGTCACTTCGGCAGAAGAATGCCCCAGTCTTCAGCTGTTGAAGAAAGGGACGAAAACCTCACAAGTCCAGAAAGACCTGACCTTTCAAGAGACAGAAGCAGCCGCGGCCTAATACAAAGAGGTCTGGCTTCAGTGGGTCCAACTGACTCAGAATTAAATGGAAAGAGCTTCCCGCTGGGGTGTCCTAACGGTGTAGCTAAGCCCCCAAGAGAGGTCAAGAGAGATGCTGAGGAAGAGCCATGCCCCAAATTCCCTCCAGAGACTTCTGCAGACGGAGGAGGAGAATACCCAAGGTATTGTATGAAAAAACCCTCACACCCCACATTTACTTCAAGGTTAACAAAGCTTATATGGTGCCTTCTGGGTTTTTTTGATCCTTACAATAATCCTGTGTGAGAAGAGCTGAAAGACAATAATTAGTCTCAGGTTCCCCCTAGAACTTCGTGACAGAGGTGTGACACGGTGCCTCCTCCATCTCAGATACCACACTGTCACCTCAAAGCAGCCGGAAGCCTTTTAGGTCCTGTGGAACTCCAGTTCCCATGATCCCTGGCAAGCCATTCTGGCTGATGGGAGTGGAGGCCGAGCAAGATCTGAAGAGTAGTTTGCTTTCATTGTTTCACCGCACGGTCTCTCCACAGCAGTCCCTGTTTTTAATTTTAATTTACAGAACAATGGGACCACAGATTTGGAACGCAGAGCAGTGGAGGACCTCGTGGACGAGGAAGCCAAATTTGGGGGCCTGCAGAGGAAATGTGGCATTGTGATGCAGGGAGTGCAATGCCAAATGAGAAAATAATGGGTTGAAAGAAAGCGATCTTAGGACAGGAGAAGTGAAAACAGACAAAGGGTGGGGGAGAAAAAGCAAGCATACATACTCCAAAGATCCCTAGCTGCAAAAAAAAAAAGTTAGGTTCCTGATACAATTCAAGAAAGCTTATTTATTAAAGGGGTTTATTGAAGATATAACTGATTGGTAACTCAGTGGTTTAGACATCTGGCTGCAGATTGAGAGGAGTTCAATCCTTGAGGAAGGAGAGCCAGCCTGGGTAGCCTTGGGCCGGCTGCATAGTCTCAGAACGGCCCCAAGAAGAAAAGAAGGGGAAAACCCTTCTCAGTATATTCTCTACCTGGGTAACCCTGAAAAGCATTACCATAAGACAGAATTGACTTGACAACAGGATGGCACATAATGATTATTACTGAGAGCATAAAGTTATATACCTAAAGAAACCTTCATTACAAAATGGTATCCTTTGACCCATGAATGGGGAACTGGCCATTAAGTTGTGACTAAAGTAAGCCCATTGGATCAGTGGAACCTACAGAGGAGTTGACTCACCAAATCCCCATCGATGTAATAGGCCTACCCTAGTTGTAACTCACTACCCTAAGCAACAGGATTTCAGCCAGTAGATATTATGTGAAAAGTTCTTGGTTTTTTACATAAATGTCTTTGATAAGGATTCCCCCTCCTCAAAATACTTCAGGGGCCCAGCCTTGTGCAGCCTGCTTTGTTGTCGAGTGGAAAACTCACCATACAATTTGTGTGTCATTTAAAAAAAAAGCAACAGAAAGATTTCCCTGTTTTTGCACTTTGTAGGGCAGAAGAAAGCCAGAAAGAAAAGCAGGAAGAGGAGATGCTCAAGAAACAGTAGCTGCAGGAATGGCTGGAGAAACTAAAGCCTCAGATACTCCATTACTGCGATGCAGCCCATGGCTGAACAACCCCCCACCACCACATCTTGTTCCATGTGGTCCCCAGCACAGGATAGCAGAACAACATCTTGTCTTGTTCTTCCAATTTCTGTCTCATCTGTTAAAGCAAGAAAGAAAAGCCAACAACATATTTCAGGTCTTTCCAACCTGACAAGAGCTACAGTAGGAGTTTCTTCCTCTCCTTTTGCAGCCTTTTATGATGCTCAAAATGTCTAAAAAGTTTTCCATCCTTTCTGGACTGGGAGAGGGTTGGTTGTTGATGCACCAGAGGCTCCAGGAGAAAGGTGGATATGGGGTTTCACTGACTCTGGCGAAGTAGCAGATCCCATAGAAGTAACTATTCTATCCTGGCCAAATATGCATTTTGTGCACATGACTTCTAATAAATGCATTTGAAGAGTTCCCTTAAGATGATGCACTTTGTATATTATTCTCACCCATCTACACCTTTTCTCTGTGTGTGCACTCTTCCCTAATATACTCCTTTTCATGTCAGTTCTTCAGTTGGAGACGTGCCGGACAAAATTCAGAGAAATGTCAAGGACCACTGTATTTTGACTCTTGTTCAGGCAGCGCACGTTAGGTGCCTTTGCATGAAAATGCAGATTTCTCCTCCATCCCTCCCAGAAGGTAAATAAATATAATTTACAAACAACTCAATAGCTGGAAAAATTGGAAGTGGGGCGGCTCTAACCTAGTTTGTGCCCTGACATGCAATGTTCATGTTTATATGAGAGAGAGAGAGAGAGAGAGAGAGAGAGAGGATTTTCAGCACCAGGGACAGCTCCAAAACCACCTCAAGCAAGGAGCAACTCTCTGTGGAGACCCTGATGACTGTTCAGAGGCTCAGCCCTTTCCGCACTTGTTCCTAGTCTTGAATGCAACGGGATCTGGGACACCGAGGAAAAGGAGTCAACCGAATGGCTCCCAGTCAGAGTCATTGGCTTCAGGTTCTGGACCTGTTTGTTAGGTCCCAGAATTTGAAAAAAAGTGACTTTGGCTCTGATCACACATGGAAAATGTTCTCTAGTTCTTCTGGGACTTTCCATACCTCTGTTGTACTGATTCTCAGTCACATGCTTTATATACCGGGGCAAACATCCCAAGAATTATAGTGGTAACGATCTATTTCCTCCCATTTGAACCATCATAGCTGGCTACAGTTCTGGTTTATGTTCTCTCTTACTTGAAAGGGCAATTCAGCCCCTTGATTTATATATTGATACATTGATATATCAGGAAGGGGTTTCTCTTTGGGAATACAGTGGTACCTCGCTAGACGATTACCCAGCAAAACGATGAATCTGCATGCCGATGAGTTTTTGTGATCGCCATAGCGATCGCAAAATGATGTTTCCTATGGGGGAATTTCGCTGGACGATGATTTGGTCTGTGGTTCGCAGGCTGTTTTTCGCAAGACGGCGATTTTGACAGCTCGGTCCGCGCTTCCGTTTTTCACAAGCAGCGATTTTACAGCTGATCGGCGGTTCGCAAAGTGGCTTTCCTGTGGGTGATCTTCACTGGACGACGGCGATCCTTCCCCATTGGAACGCATTAAACGGGTTTCAATGCATTCCAATGGGGAAACGCTTTTCGCTAGACGCTGTTTTCACAAGACAGCGATTTCAATGGAACGGATTAACATCATTTAGCAAGGCCCCATTGTATGTCCTCTGTTGCACTGGCTGCTCTGTTTTGATTTGGATTCCTGCCTGGGACAGGGGGTTGGTCTCGATGGCCTTAGAGTCTCCTTCCAACATGATTCTAGGATTCTACACTTGGACTGAGCCATAATTCAGATCTCCATTTCTCTAGTCCACTGAATTTTCTTTCGGTCTCATCAGTTATAAACGTTAAAGGGCTTTTGGTTTTTTTAAAAAGGATGGACCATTAGCTGTCCAAAATAAAGCACGTGACCTGTTCTCTAGGCAGTCTTCCCTCAAAGAGATGAACCAGTAAGAGATTCATCATTAAATCTCTGCCTGCCCTCCTTTCCTTTAAGGGATGTGCCTTTATCCTCCCGGTCCGTCTCATCCATTTGTCAAGATCCTTCTGAATTTGACTCCCTCCTTCACGAGTTTTTGTATCAGACCTGCCCAACTTGATGTCATCTCCGGATCCAATTAGTAGACTCTGTTCTCTATCTATGCTAATAAAAACTAGAATTCTGCCACTGGCAGCTTTCTTCGCCATACAGTCTTAACGCTGTCGACATCCCCTAACTGATGTCTTGCCGATCCGTGTGCGCCTTTCCCCGTCTGACAGATCTTTATTCGTCATGACCGTCTATTAATAAAACATTGACAGGAGAAGTTGCAACAGCCTCCACTGGTCCATTTGCAGCTGTCCTTTTATAAGACAGGTCTGAAAGATAGTTTGACGGCAGCGTGTCATGCGTCTCAGATTAGAATCGTCTTCCCTCCCTCTTCTTGATTCACACACAGATTGAAGAATGAAGATGTTTTGACAGGCGGAACCAAAGCAGTTATAATTTGGCAGCCATGTCCCTTAAAGATCTGGAAACAAGGATGACTAAGAAGGTACATATTTCTAAGCATTGCTGTAGTGTTTGCACAGTGTCACTGTTTTTTTCCAAGCGAATTTTCAACTGCGCCATTTTCTTATCCAAAAACCCCCGTTGTTGAGCTGCCTTGACTACACCCCGTTGGCAGAAAGAAGGCCTATAAATGAGACAAAATAAATAAATTAAACGATGCTGCCTTACCTCTAACCACCAGCCCGTCCTTGACAGAGTCTTCAGTTTCGGTCCTCGTCTGCCTGATCTTTGAACACAACTCACACACCCCCCAAGAGCATCTTGTGTCTCTCTACCCACTGTGGACATCCGTCTATGAGAGACTCAGAATTTGGTAGACCTTCTGAGCGGAGACCAAAACTTAACAACAAGCTTGTGCTGAGAAACAAAGGATACATCGGAACAAACAAACAAAAATCAGAAAGCAGGATCACATCACAAATGAGGCTAAAACTGGGAGGCAGGACTTGTGAGAATCTCTTTCTGTTTCTATTTTGTTGAGTTTCTCTAAATACCACTTGCATCTTCTTCGTGTCCTTGTTCCATGCTGTGGTGCAGGTCTCTGTTTTCTTCTCACGCTGATATTTTTGCACATTTAAAACACGTTTTCTCAATATGTGCATTTATTTACATGTTTTGCTTAACATACGCAACTCTTCCAAGACACGTTTTTGAATCTGTTTTGGTCAATTGCCCATATACTGTACTGGATTATTTAGATTTTAAAATATGCACATAGATCTGCAGGGACGTGGTGGTGCTGCGGGTTAAACGCCAGAAGTCTCTGTGCTGCAAGGTCGGAAGACCAAGCAGTCGTAAGATCGAATCCACGCAACAGAGTGAGCTCCTGTCGCTTGTCACAGCTCCTGCCAACCTAGCGGTTCAAAAGCATGTAAATGCGAGTAGATAAATAGGTACCACCTCGGTTGGAAGGTCATGGCATTCTGTGTCTAGTTGCGCTGGCCACGTGACCATGGAAACTGTCTACGGACAAACGCTGGCTTTGTGGCTTGGAAACAGGGATGGGCACCGCTCCCTAGAGTTGGACATGACTGGACTAAATGTCAAGGGGAACCTTTACCTTATCTAGATCTGCACATGTTATTTTTCGTAAGTACCCTGTATGCCTCTCCAGGGTGCCCAGTTCTTGAGAACTGAGACATTTCTTCTTGCAACAAATCTTTGGAGGAACAACAAAATGTTTCTCCCTCCTTTGGCAGGAAGAGACAGTCAGGACTACACCAGAACTCAGGAAGGCCAGTTTAACTAAGCAAGGCTCAGCTGAAACAGGGAAGTCCTTTATTCTCCTTCCCTCCTCCATGAAGGATCTAGTCACTGCCAGCCTCAATGGGCAGAGTCGGTCCATATCTGGAAGATGCTTCACTGAGAATCTTCCCCTGGTGGTTCAACGGCTTCCAACGGAGGGGCGTCGCACCTAAAACTTAGCCGCTCCCAGGGATGTTGGGAAGTCTTTCGGCTTGAACCCTTTGCCGAAATACGAGTCTTTGGTCCCAAGGCCATCAAGTCTAAACCTCTGCTCAATGCAGGATTACAAATCAAAGGAGATCTGCCAGGGGGTTGTCTAAATTTCTCTTGAATGCCTTCAGTGCTGGAGCCCTCGCCACCTCTCGAAGTCATTGGTTCCATCGTCGTACCCCTCTAACAGTCAGGAAGTTTTTTCTTCTGATATTCAGCCAAAATCTGGCTTTCTGTCACTTGAGCCCATCGTTGCTTGTCCTGCACTCTGGAATGGTGGAGAACAGAAAGTGAGGTCCTCCAAAGACACAGGGTAGCCTCTTCTGCAAAATGTTTGGTTTTTCCAAGTGTTTTGAAATCTTTTAGCTATTCCTTATGGCACACTAGCAGTTTCTTCGAGATCGGCCAGTATACAGTCTGAGAGTGCCCGCCCTAGAAGGTGGTAATTTTGCAGGCCCATTCATAATCCATGTGAGTAATTGAGCTGAACGGTAATTACTGAAGGAGTTTGGAAGCCCTTCGCCGCCTAATGAAGGTGTCTAGAAAGTAATACACTTCTCCCCACCTCTCTTTTTTTTTTCAAAGCACATTAGCAATTACATTAATGGTCCCAGCTCCTTTAGAGTCAGGAGGGAAATCTAGACTTCCTGCTTGCTCTTATCCTCAGTTTAACTCTCCATGCCGGGCTTGGGAAGGCCCCCTCCGTTTCTATCACAGAATCCCTCTTGGTTTCTCTTCTGTTTGACATTGTATAAATGTAACCGGGAATTAAATATGGTCTGTTGAGCTAAATGGGGAGCTAATTAGCACAGATTTAGCTCCGCGGCTGTGCAAAAAAACACTTTTCAGCAGCAATACAAACAGAATGGTAATGCTTAGATGGATCGGAGGCTAGCTTGCAAAACCACCTGTGCATTAAATCAAGCGTGTAAATTGACATTTGCCTGGTCACCAAGAAATTCATTTGGGCAAATGGTGGTGGAAACTTTTCAGAACATTGCTTCTTTTTCTTTCCTACCACAGATGGCCTATCCTGGCATTCCTGGGCGGGATTTACATACCTTATTAATACACGAATGCTACCGCAATCACAAAAGTCAACATTTATCCAGCATTGCCACCCAGAACTGGGTTCTGTCTAGGTGATGCTTTGGGCCAAATGGCACTTTTTCTCTTTTTTTCTCATCCCAATTGCCCTCCTCGCCTGCCAGGGTGGGTAAGGCTTGCTCTTCACAACACGGCATATGTGATGCACAAGGACACAACTAAGAAGAGGAAGTACGTAGATTACCTGTGCCTTTTGTGGGGTTTCTCCTTTTTTGTGCTCCCTTGCACACATACCCAACCCATCCTTCCTTCCATGCTACAGCACACCTCTGTCGATCATTACTGAAGACTATGGCGCCAGCCAGATTATTGAACTGCTTGGGAAGCTCACCTTAGACTTTAGATGTAGTGAGAGTGGGTGGTGACTTGCCTCCTACTGCCGGAGCTCTGAATTCTAGACATTTTTTAAATCATGAGTGCAGAATCCATCCATGCATGTGAATAATTACAGATAAGTTGCCTTGCCCCGACAGCTGCTTCCAGCCACGGTTT